CGTTTTTACAAAATTACACCCTCTGCTTTAAAAATATTCAACATCCAAAGCAAATTAAGAAACAACTTGACATTTTCACTACTTGCAGAAGAGACTCACATTTGAACGTCCAGAAAGTTTTATTAAAATCGCAACTAATCCTGATTACTGCTAACGAAGTCAATGCTGGCCAAAAAAAAATAAGTTTTTACCCAATTTCGACATGCTATTCTTTAAAATTATGCAACTTGCAAACGAAAGGAGCAAACGAATGAAATTCTCCCCACTCACAGAAGCGCCTTGACTCGAAATTTTATTAAAATCGCGCGTTATTTTTATTTTTTTCTCAACTCAATGCTGCCAAAAATTAACACATTTACACAATTACACGCCATACTTTAAAATCGGCAAACTATGAAACAAAATTAAGCAGAAACTTGAGGTGATCACCATCTGCAGGCAACACTAGACTCTGAGCTTCTAAAAATGTTATTAAAATCACACTTAATCCTGACATTTTCTAACCAAGTCAATGCTGTCCAAAAACAATTCCACACAACAACAATTCTTACTTTAAAAATGCCCAACTTGAAGTTTTCATCACTTGCAGAAGAAACTTGATGTTCAGAAAAGTTTATTGGAATCTTACTCAATCTTGATTTTTTCACACTATTGCCTACAAGCTTCCACTTCCAAAAATCTGGAAAAGCCTGAAACGACTTGCCTTCAGACTCGTTTTTAGAAACTGACGACGTCGTTCTTATGATATAATCACAGACTTTACCTACATCTGCTTATTGAATTTACAATAAGGAAAAGCTAGTGGTAGTTAATTCTAAAAAAATATGTGAGTTTTTAAATATAGGATTTAGAATTTTGCCACTTTTCAGTAATTTTCCTTTGTTTTCAAGTCTAAGCTTCATTTGGTAAGTCTGAGTGATAGTCACATTCGCAAGATAAAAAAATCTGTTACATGAAGCAATTTAAGTGCTTTAAAGAGTCAACATCACTTGAAAGAATGTGTCCTTAAGACCAACAGAATTAATTACTTTCTTGTTGTAAACGTGGAATATTCGATGATTTTTAGTGAATCCTTTCGTAACCGGCTTCTATAAAAGATAAACAAAATTTGTTAACGTCGGAGATTTGCAGTCAAACTTGAGCTCTCAAAAATTGCTCCAAGGCTGGTAATTCGAAGCAGTATCACGAAATTGTGTATACTCGCGAAAAAGGCAATTTGTAGACTTTAAATTCCACGGAGTCTATGTTGATAAAATAAGATGTCCTAAATATCAGTTTACAGTTTTATTAAGTACACTCGTTGTTTGTCCTGTCTCAAAATGTTTTAAGACTGAAAATACCGGTATATTCCCCAGAAGCATGCCTTGAAATCACTTCGTTCTGTTTTCCTTTTAATTATTCAATTTATTATTTATCTCGTTTTGATTTTCAATTTTGCTGTTCAGACACACATATAATTCAGATACTTGCTGCGATAAAACACTTAATTGCTTGTTTGACTTCAATTTGCTTGGTTGACATCAATTTAACACAAGGAAATAAAATTTGTTTGCGTTATAAGTGCGGTAAAACCATATGTGCGTTTTTTCGTTAATGCTAATTTGTATAAGCAGTCGATTTTAAACCCCGCACAATGCAATAGGTTCGGAATTCTACAAAAAAGGCTTGTATTTTATAATATATTTTAATCAAGTCAAATTTATAAAGAAACCTTTGCCAATAGACTGATTATTCCCATTTTAATCAGGAGCAGTTTTAACTTTTTTAAATTTTTTGTCGCAAAAATTACTCTTTAATTCTTCAAGATATTCCAGTTCTGTAAGTTATATTTTCCTTATTTTCTCCATATTCAATCCATGTTTCGGTAGCCATACTAAACTCGAAAATGAATTAGCAATTAGGTTCATAACAATTATATCCAGTTTAACTTCGAATAGAAATTTCCGTTGGTAAACTCTACTTTTTTAAGTAGATACGTAAATATTATTGGCGAAAATTTGGAATATGAATGATTCATTCTAAGCCCTAAAAAGTAAATTCTTCAAATAATACAAAAATAATAATTTTACCTGTTGAAACGTTTGAGTAGGTGAAATCGATCAATAGGTTTTTAGAACGAAAAATTGAATGATGCTGAATTGATTTATATTCCACTTTCAACCCACTCGAAGAAAATAAACAGAACCTGGAAATACGTGAAAGATCTACTTAATGAATACCAATTAAGTATGAAAAATGCATGATCAAATTCCCATTTTTTTATGGTCGGAAGTTGATGAGTAACTACTAAGGATGGTCGGTATTTAACGTAACGTGTAACCTGAAACCGTAGTTACAGCTAGCAGATTTAACCGGTTGTTTTTGGATCCGTCTCATAAACCCGAAAAAGCCGTTCGCAACAGCACAGAACCGATGCGACACCATCGAGCATCTATCTGCAGCCGTTTGCCAATTTAAATCGTTCTTTTTGGAACCGTTTCATAAAACTGACAGTTGAGCGCACTTCGAAACAGCTGCAGCCGTTTGTCGATTAAAAGGTTGTTTTTGGAACCTTCTCATAAAACCGGAACGGCGGTGCGCACTAGCACAGAACCGATGCGACAACGTCGAGCGATCTGTCCAGCTTCAGCCGTTTGCGGACTTAAACCGTTCTTTTTGGAACCGTCTCATAAACCTGAAAAAGTGGTTCGCGTTAGCACAGAACCGATGCGGCATCGTCGAGCGCTCTATCCAGTTGCAACAGTTTCAGTAACCATTTATCAACGGAAAATATGTTGCCTTGATGATTGTGTTTATCACTTTTCGCTTATAAGAATTACTGTTCAGTTCTCCATAATCCATAATCGTTCAAATATGGATCAGATATTAATTCAGCATTTTTAGTCTAGAAGTATTTAGTTATCTGACGTTCTGTAAGAGATCTTAAAAAAATAGATTTCTCTCATAAACTTAGCTCGAAATGTTATATGCCTATAATCAGCAAACTAAGCAGAATGTACACTTGCATTTGAGCTATGACAAAATTTAGAGTCTAAGACATAAATTCCATCACAGTTGAACTGTAAAATAATAAACGTTGTAATCAGAATGTGCACCTGCATTTAAGCAAGCTTGCCATTTGTAGACATAAATTCAGTCACAAGATGAAATGAAAGTTAGTTATATAGACGTTGTAAGGTCGACATATTTTTTATTAATAGTTTTTAGTGGTACCAAAATTAACTCGGATAATACTTCGAACTCAGTAAAAAGCATCTGCAAAAAATTTTCTTTTTAAACGTTAATTAATTTTTAAATGAAAATTAGATTTTTAAATATTTTTGCAAATAAATCGTATATTGTATTAGCTTATTATCAGTTCTTTTGTTCTATAAGCAGGTACTTCTGACCCATGTTCTGTTTTTCCTTTTAGAATATTTTATTTTATCTAAGAGCTTTAGTTACGAATTATTGTTTTGATAAACTAAATCATTATTTGTCATTACTGTTTCTACTATCATCATCATTGAGCATGTTTAATGAAAAATTTTTAAAGTAACATGTTTATCGAAACCTATTACCAACGTGAAACTGGAATATTGTAACCTTGTTACAGAAAAATAACCGTTTATCCCACCTCTAGTAACTACTGTGTAAAAGCAGTCAATGTTTTCTATTATTTTGGTCATCTTTGCTTCATATTCTTGAGTAATTCGTTGAATTGAATGACAAATAAAAAAAAACAGTTAATATTGATAAATTGAAAAAACTGTTTTGATAAAACCGATTTTGATCAAGTAATGATTTCAAACATACAAAAAATCGTAAATTAGATTTTTTAAAAAATTAATAAGAAAATCTAAACGCTATCAGCTCATCATTTAAAGGTTCTCAGAAGGTTTCCCAATTTTTTGTCAAAAACAGCATTTTTTAAGCCATTTTCATGCTAAATGCTAAAATTCTGTAAAAACACCAATGCTTCTAGGAGATAATAAGTCACACTTTTAAAAATATTTATTATCTGGTCGATTTTTACGACTATTTTATATTATCTATCAATGTCGAAATTAACGAGTATTTTACCCAAGTGTCTATCAGTATAACAGAAACATAAAAAAATAAAGACAATTAAATTTTCACATTCCAATTCCCCGTAGAGCTCACTTTTTATACCCCTCTGAAACCGTCAACTTCCCGTCGAGCCTAAAAGTCGCTCTTGGAATGGAACCTTTCCACACCTTAAAACATCAATTCCATCACAGCGTCAAATTAGCTCAAGGCTTAATTCTCTTTATAGGAGTTAAAGCTCTAAAAAGTATTTTCTGGACGTCATTACGTTCGAAGAATACACGTCCTCTACTACAAAGCCTAATCCTAAATGAAACTGAGAGGGCAAATTACTGTGAGAAAGGACCGACCTGGAAAAACAGGCCCATTTCTAATCGAAAATCGATTGAAAATCTTATCTCAGAAAAAAGAGTCAAATGTAGTTTAGTTCAAAGTAAATTAGGAGTCAATCGCTTTCAAGTTCCCTTATATCGCTCTGTTTGTATAAGAAAATTTTATGTTTTTCATTTATAATATTGCTTAAAATGCTTGATTGAGTTTTGATTTTAACATTATTTCATATATAATTAAGTGCCACTAAAAAAAGTTAACACTGTTAACAGCAAAGAACCTATAATCAAAGTAAAACGAAAAAAAAAACGAAAATTATATTGATTTTGACTAGCTTCAAAATGTTCTAAAACGGGCTTATTTGTACTACCATTATTTCATTATTGAAGTAATTATCGATTTAACAATTGGGTCAACACAGTTCGCATGAACTCAAGAATTCTTAATAATTTCTTTTATTGGTAGCGTAGGGAGAAAAATTAAAGAGTTCAGTTCAACAGCTCTGAAAGAACTATTCACACAAGATCAGCAGAAACTTTATAAAATTATTATTATTGCTCAATTTATCAAAATTTATATCAAGAGTGACTAGGAGAAATAACTAAAAATATTTAAAAAAATACATACACATTTTGGCTGGTTCTAAACTGTTCAGTAACTGTAGCAATCATGAACGGTAAGCACTCCTTTCGACAACTGGATATAAAAGATTTGGAGGATTTATATGGAGAGCAGCTGGATATAAAATCCATGGCGAACATGAGAGGAAGTCCAAGAGCCAGAGATATCGCCAAACGGTTTAAGTTAGACGAAAATGATGGCAGAAATATAGATGATCATGATCAGTTTTATCGCGATCACAAATTGTTATTGATTTTGTTTAAGGTAAGCATATTCGAAAAACTATTTCCAGCTCCCGTGTTTTCCACCAAAGTCTTTAAAATCGTTTCAAATGAGAGTTACATTTAAATTATTTTAACAACGTAGCTTTAAATATAAGCACTCAATTAAAAATAGTGAAAATTGCTTGCATTTAAGTGGATGGGAGTTATGCCAGTAGAACGTGGAGAAATTGGAAAAATTACATTCAGTTGGACATCAAAACCGATGTTATATGCCTATGGATTTTACGTGATAACTACCATAGTAGTTCTTTTAGGTAATGTTTGTAATTGTCTGTTAATTTAACAAAACTTCTCACAAATTTCAATCTCAAATGGTTCAATTTATGTAAGTACAATAATTTTAAGTTTTATGTAAAACAAAATAAGTTAATTTAAAATTAAAATATTTCAAAACAACAGTTAGTTTATCAACATACAGGGTGGGCCCACGAAAAGGTCGCACCCCTATTTATGACCCTCCTGGTAGATTTATAAAAAAAACGCTCGACCACGTCAACTTTGATTTTTTAGGGGACATCTTGCTGACTATCATTACATTATACAGGGTGTTTCATGAACAAGATATTACGTCACACTTTGAATTTTTAAATGGACACCTACTACTTTTATGATATTTTTCGATCCTGCCAAAAGTTTGTAGTAAATTTCGTATAGCATGTCCTATACCCATCTTCAACGGTTTCAATTTTATTTGCGTTTGTTGTTGAATGATTGAGGTATTGAGCCGTTCGAAAGTATCGGAGATTGCCGTGTCTATGGCTACCTCTGACAGATTAAGAAAAGCAACTAGTCGCCGTCAAGTGTCACTGTGGGCTTAAACTTGTTTTAACTTAACTTGCACATCTTTCATTATAATGAAATTTTCCATTCGATTAAGAATAGAAATAATAAAACTTTATTTTGAAAATGGAAGTTCCGCCCCTTTATTTAATTAGTTACATCCAGACAAAACTATTAACGATAAGTATGTAGGAAGATTAATCAAGAAGTTTGAAGATTCTGGATCTGTGACTAATATTCTGCACCATCCAATTCGAACGGTGAGAAACAATGCCATTGAAACAGCGGTTTTGGGACACGTAGCACTCCAATCTTCTATCATAATCATCTTCACTGAATTCATGTACAAGTTTTATTTTGTAATGTTGGAATTTGTGACTTTTCAATATTCTTCGTATTGACTTGCGAGAAACTCCGGAAGATGTAACCAGTTGGCGAATACTTTGGATATTGTCAAGTGCTACGTGTCCCACAACCGCTGTTTGACGCTGGTGACACTTGAGGGTGACTCGTTGTTTTTCCTAATCTGTCAGAGGTAGTCATAGAAACGGCAATCTGCAATACTTTCGAACGGCTCAATATCTCAACAACAAACTCAAATAAAATTGAAACGGTTGAAGATGGGTATACGAAATTTACCACAAACTTTTGGCAGGATCGAAAAATGACCTAAAACTAGTAGATTTCCAATTGAAAATCAAAAGTGTGACGTAGTATCTTGTTTATGAAACACCCTGTATAACGCAATCATCGCCAGCAGGATGTCCCCTTAAAACTCAAAGTTGACGTGTTTGAGCGTTTTTTTCTAAGTATACCAGGAGAGTCATAAATAGGGGTGCGACCTTTTCGTTGGCCCACCCTGTATATTTAAAATGATACTTTTCAGATTACTTCGCATTCAGGCAAAGATATTTTAATCGATTAAGAATCAGTAAGGAGAAAATGTTACAGCAGAAATCAGATTAGAATGAAAGCCTTATTGGAAACCATAATAGATTTATCTCCAAAATCAAGTCAATGAAAGTTATGCTAAAATTCAATTTTATATGCAAATTTGCTTCAACATAATACTTGAAGATTTCGCTCGCGCAAAACTCAAATGCTTAAATGTTATAAGAATTGATCGGTCATTCAATTCACTGTATTATTCGATTTTTCTATTTTGCTATTTTGAAGCTTAACTGAGAGCAATTGCTCCTCTGTTTTTTATATTTTCTGTATTGTATAAACTAATTTTATTTTGTTATATCCTGTAAATAATTATTCTATAGTCATTCCTTATGCTTTTTATTTTTTTATAATGAATTTTATGAGTACATATATTATTATAGAATTTAACGTTACTAAAATGTTTTAGAAGGCATAATCATAATCATAAATTTTTTAATACGCGAATAGTTAAAGCTCCATTTGTTTAAAATTTATGTACAGAATATAATTTTCCTCGAATAAAAGTTGCTCAAATATTAAAATTTGTTAAAATTTTGACTTTGATACAGGCTCTTTTTCGTGTTTGGGAAGTGTCTGATACTTTCATTCACTGCTTTGATTCATTTTGTTCATTTGTACCATAAAAACGTAATTTTTTTCGGAATTAATAATTTGTTGCCTCTATTTAAGTAAGTAATCGAAATCCATTCTGTAGTATCGCCTGCATCAAAAAAATGTTTTATTTTTTTTATCATACAAGCGATTAATTGTTACATTGTAATTAAAAATTAATTGATTCATCATACATTAAATCAAGTCTGCAAAATAAACGTTAATAAAAACACGCCTAAACTGTGTAACTTGTATGTGTCGCAATTTATCTTTGCCTCAAGAGCAAATCAGGACAAAAACCGTTTAAAATGTTCGAGTTTTTGGATTTTACAGTTGGATATGAAAGAGTGGATATTTTGCTGAACAAAAGCCGAAAGTTTGACGAATATATTTACGCAATTATTTTCATTGTGTTTCTCGTACCGCATTTTGTCGTTCCCTTTGTTGGATGGTCGGTTGCTCATCAGGTGTGTGATTACAAGAACAGCTGGGGAAGATTTCAGCTCAACTATTACAAAATTACAGGTAAAACTCTTAGAGAAATATGGCTCAATCGACTGTTGATAAATCAAACACTGTGCACATAATTTCCGACGGCTGTATAGAATGGCAAATGTAAAAAAGAAAAGAGTTTGCTGACTTTTTAGCAAATAAAATGCAGAGACGGAAATGTCACGTAATTCATCAAGGGTTTAGACTAGTTGTATTTATTTTCGCCCGAATAATCAGATCTAATTGGTTACTTAGCAGCCGGAGGATATGCGATTTCTAATTTCAAAGCTCAGAAATGCACAGTATCAACAAGCAAACAAATCATTCCCGTTAGAAATTGCATTGCTCCTAGTGAATACTGTTTGACTCTATTTCTTTTTTATTAAAATTTATCTCTTGTATATGCAGGCCGCGACCTAGAATTTCCTTACTTGAGTACCCTGATTGGTACTATCAGCTTAGGATGTCTGTTTCTGGCAGTCAGTTTTCTGCTATCCCTAAGTACTTTGCTGGATGGATTTGCGCTTTATCACACTATTGGATATCTTCATATTATTACAATGATTAACATGAACTGTGCTCTTTGGTACATTAACTGCAGAGCTATAGGAAATGCTAGCACCGGCGTAGCAGAAAGCTTTAAGAAGGTATTTATTGCCGATCCAAAAAAAGATCTATACCAGCAACGTTAACAATATCAAACAGATGGACAAAATAATCTCATATTTTCCTTTTAAATTAACAATACCTGAAAAGTTTTCGTTCTAGGATATTCACAGCTACTGCGTAGCTTATATCATCAAACATTACAGAGTGCTCTGGTTGGAACTGAGCGAGATTTTGCAAAAATTAGGAAATGCCTACACTCGAACTTATTCTTCGTATTGCCTGTTAATGATGACTAACATAATCATTTCTGTGAGTGGTCTAAACACACCTATAGAAAAAAGCATTAAAAGTGAACATTGTTGCAGGTTTATGGTTTCACTTCTGAAGTGGTTGATCACGGTGTTAAATTCACTTTCAAAGAAATGGGTCTACTGGTTGATGCCATTTATTGTTTTACTCTCCTCTATATCTTTTGCGACTGTTCCCATCAAGCATCGGCCAACATTGCCGAAAGAGTTCAATGGGCGCTAATGGAAATTAATCTTAATCAAGTCGATCATGCCACAATCAAAGAGGTGCCAAAACCCTTAATAGTTGTATTCGATTTTCTTACGCACTTGTCCTTACATTCAAAACTTTACTGATAATCAGCTTTTTTAATATTTCCAGATACAAATGTTTTTAAAGGCCATTCACTTAAACCCGCCCAAAGTGAGTTTGAGGGGATACACGGTTGTGAGCAGAGAATTAGTAACGGCTGTAAGTATTTAATAATTACTTATTAAAAAAATCAGAATTTTATGTTTTTTTATTCTACAGAGTGTCCCACCGAGAACCGCCGCGGTCGATATTTGACAAAGTATAATTAGGAGAAATTTGAAAATTTGACAGAATGCCGAAGTCATTGGGGGCAAGCGATCTAAAATATTTTCAAGATAACCACACTTCCGGTTATACTGGAAGTTGGTATCAACTTGCTTATTTTAAACGGATCACCCTATATATTATTACATTTTTAATATCTACTCCAAATTCTAAATATATTTCAAGTATAATATCCTATACCCAAGTTTGACTGTTTTTGATATACACTGATGGACAAAATCATCGCACCATCCATAAATTTCTAAGAAAAAATATTATAAATTCTAGATACTTATATCAAAAGTAAAATTATTGTTTTTTAAATTAATATGAGAATGTTTTCGAAAGAAAAATTAAAACAAAACATGAATCACTAGTTTATCATTAAATGGCGTGTATTGCCGCCTCTAGCTTGAATAACGTCCCTCAATTGCCTTGGAATGCCATAAATAAAAGTTTGTAATAAATGATTGCGGTATGTTGTGCCATTCTTGAAGAACCGCATTTTCCAGTTAAGCAAAGTTCTCAGGAGTAGGATCTCGTAATACATAAACCAGAAATTGTAAAATCTCTTGAATGTACTTCTGGGAAGTTAATGATCTTCCTCGGATCACCACAAGGTCTGTACGGGCCTCCAAAGAAATGTCACCCCAAAGCATTATTGAGCTACCATGGAAAGCCCGTTGTGGAATCATAAATACTTTTCTCTTGGTCTTCTCCAAATAAAAACTCGCCCATCCGAATATTTTAAACCCACTCTAACTTCATCAGTAAACAAGACGATCTTCAGTCATCCAAATCCCAATCCACGTGCTCTCGAGCAAACTCAAGCCTAGCTTGCTTGTGGGCTATGATTAAGAGAGGACGTTTTGCGGGATGTTTTGCACTCAATCCGGATTCACTGAGCCTTTTTCTTACCGTTTTGGAAGAAATTGCAACATTTCGAGCATTTTACCGATTTGTTAAAGCTTGCAGTCGTATAAAACGATCGTCCACTTGGAACACCCAACATTCGGGCGACCTCACGTTGGGAATACCCTTCTTCCACCAAGGTGACAATTTTGACGCATCAAACTCACTTAAATTTCTTCCTAGGGACATTTCAAATCGAATACACTTTAGTTACACATAAGTTAGGAAAAACGAAAGAAAATTGAAAACAGCACCACACTTGCTTAAAACAATGATGAGATGTTGCAAATGACACAAAAGAAGTAGAAACTTGCATTAGAATGAATAGAAAGGGACCAAAAACAATTGGTACTGAAAATGCTACTATGATTCCGTTATTTACCAGCCTACCTTTGGAAAATGATGCTCTAATTTTGTCCATCAGTGTATTAGAAATTTTATGAAAAAAATGGCAGTTGCAACAACTCGAATAATTATTCATTTTTCGTATGAGGGAATATGTGCTACTTAATTTGAGTCGCATTTCTTGCTCAAAAGGACTTACTTTAATGGAATTTCTTTCAAATATGGCTGTAAAGTCACGTAAACCCGGAAACAGTCGCATATAACTCGGTAAGTACGCATTTTACAGAAAAAAATTAAACTATTTAATTAAATAAATTTGTTCGTAATGAAATTTGGTCCGATATTCGTAGTTTTGAAAAGTATGCTTTAAAATGCTCGAAAGTGCAAAAAAGTGAATAATTTTAAATTATTTATTTAACAATACAAAATTAACTCGATTACGCCATAAATTTAGAAAAAAGTATTTGACTGCAATACACAACCAGAGCCGCAAGGCCGATTAAGATCGGACGAACAGTTTTGACAATGCAATTGTTGAATACCACCTGCAAATTTTTTTTTTATTTTCTTCTTTTCTCAAACTAATAAATATGTTTTGCGCCCGGGTTTTTACACCTTTTTAGAGCCTTAAGGTATCATTACAATTGCTATATCAACCATTTTTCAATTTTGGATAACCTTTTGAGCGGTTTTGAAAAGTTTGAAAATATTGGCTTTCAAATAAATAAGCCTGCAAAGCGGGATTAGCCTGTACAGAGGTATGTTTATTAAAGTGGGAAAACATCGGAGTACTATTTTTCGATACTTTCCGATTTTTTTTTATTCGCAAATCCCGCTTTACAGGCTTATTTATTTAAAAGCCAAAATGTTGAAACTTTTTTAAAACCGCTCAAAAAGTTATTTAAAATTGAAAATAGTTAATATAGCAATTGCATCTGATAGTTTAACGGTCCAACAAGCTGGCAAAGCGCGGGCGCAATAATATATATAATTTTGAGCCTGGTACAAAATTTAAAAAAGCATTTTAGGTAGATTTTTTAACAATTGCATTATGCAATAATATGCACAAATTGTCCTTTAGATCTAATCTTGCGGCTCTCGTATTGTACTGCAGTCAAGCACTTTTCTCTAAATGTATGGCGTGCTTGGGCTATTTCTTCCTGTTTATTACCTACTTTTTTGCAATTTCGATCATGTTAAAGCGAACATCAAACGAAATCTACAGATATCGGACCAACTCTATCTTGTAGAAAATTTAATTACGAACAAATTTACGAGTATACTTTTTTCTCTAAAATGCATACTTACCGAGTTACATTCGATTGTTTCGGGATAAACTCGATTTTCGCATTTTTTTTCACTTTTTTGTTGTTTATACAAATAGCACACCTTTTCAACCAGACACACGTCGATATTTTCAATATATCATTCCCGAACGATTCCAATAGTTATCTATGTTACGTCACGTTAAAGCCATGGCAAACTGTAACCCTCCTGGACTAAAAATGAATAACCTTTTCCAGATGATAAGTACGATTGCAATTTACCTCATAGTACTTCTACAGTTCAAGATCAGTTTAGTCAACATGAGAGGATGAACAACGTATCAAAACCATATTCTACACAAGTCTGGTGTTTATCGTTAGGATTCTTCTTCCTTCAATGGATTTACAAATACTTCAAACGAATGCTAATCTGGAAAGGAAAGTTTTTAGTAAAAAAATATATTGCATTGTTTTGCAATTAAATACCTTCACGTAAGCTATGTAGTATCGGCGATACTTCTGGAAGGAAAATGAAATCACCATACACTGTTTTGTCGAAAAATAATTTAATAAATCGCTGAAAATTATTTCGTTTTAACTTGCAATGAAAATCCTGGACTGTTAAATTCACGTTTGTGGCAAATCAAGAAGAAATGTAAGTTTCCAAAATTTTTATTATAAACAGCAATCAGTTGAAGCTGAAATGTTAACGCAAAATATTAACTTGCTCCAAATTCTTATGTGAAATGTTGTCATAGTCCTTCGAGCTAAATATTTCAGTATATTAAGCCAATCAACGAATAATAAATATAATACATTTATTTGTACAATTTACAACTAAAATAACATAGTCTAGCTTTATATGTATAAGCTTTATATTAAAAATATTTACATTATTGAAAATCATATAAACCAATCAATAAAATAAACAACATCCATCACAAATTCTACCAAATTAAAACGAAAGTTATGAATTATACAAAATAGATGTTAGAGCTATAGAAATACCTTAATAATTTAAAATCATCACAATGAAAACGTTCAAAATGTACTAAACATTGGAATTTTAGGCACAATCGCACAAACTGTAATTTTAGAATATTTACGAATTTGGTTATCCTTTCTATACAACAGTATATACACAACCGTAAGGTAAAATGGAAAGCAATTATTAAATGAAAGTGAAACATCTCGGACTCTGAAATTTGTACCCTCGCAATTATTAATATATGTATATAACAACAGACTTTTAGGAATCCTGAAGCATCAGTAGATCGGTAACTTAATATCGCCACTATTCCAGCCACATTCAATGTACCATAATATATGTACATATCTGAATATACAACAGGGTTGCTTTCATAATTTCGAACAGCTATGGCATATTCAAGTAACCACGTTTATAAAATAATACTCAAGTACAACAATAGTTGAGTATTATTTCTAAAGTTACTTATAATATGGTCACATGAGTATACTTTAATGCTTCACAAACGAACTTTAATTCTTTATTGAACATTTTTTAAGATGATGCAGAATCTTGAACACATTTACTGGAAATTATTTATGTATTACTTTAAACATCGATCACTGGACCATAATCGAAAACAACGTTATATTACATAAATAAAATTAAAAAATTGCAAAAGGAAACCAGACACATGTTCCCTGCCAACTAAAATTAATGTAAGGTAGCTAACCAGCTAGTACTTATTAATTTTTATAGCACACTTGAAACAAATTACGAAATATGGTGTCATAATATGCCTAAACAATCCAATTTTTGTACAACGCTAAGGCGCAATTCTAGCGCAAATGCTCGGGACAATAGGCCTTAAAATTAGCCTCGTCCAATTGCCAGTGGCTTTTCCGCGCACAGCACACGTGCGACGAACTGAGACAACCTCGTTTGACGCACGTGACATTCGCCCCTTTCAGGCCACAGCCCGAACAAGGCAAGTTTGAACAAGTCCACACTGCTTCTTCTAAACCAGCAATTTTTGGACCGACTAGATAAACACCGGGACTCCACACCATACAGTCCTCGTGCACCCACACTTCAAAAGTATTGTTTCCCGTATCAGTTATCCCCAGATAAAGATCCGTGGAATCCACCGACGGTTCAAGCTTCCGTTTTGCTTTTTTACTTTTTGAGTTCGCTGCCGCTGCTGCAGCGTCTAAGGCTTTACTAATTTTCCGACTTTTAAATTGCCTGAAACATTTTCCTATTATTTGGCAACTGTCGTAGGCTTCTTAAGACTTTTTAATTTATATCGCTGGTTATATCAAATAGTTTTTGAAATAAAATATTATTTTATAGCCCGGGAGGCGAGGGTCGTTTTGACCTAGTCATTTCATGCTGGTGTAGGTGCTGAGGAATATGCCCAGAAAAGTTTTTACAAAATCATTTTAGACAATCTGATTGTTTTCCATGAATTAAAGACATTAGATAATATTTTTTTAAATAGTCAGCTAAGCCATAAAGGAGAGATTACACGTCAGTTGGGCGGGTAAACTTGTAGTAAAAATCAGTAGATTAGAAGTAGATTTTAAATCGATTCAAAAATGTTCAAATTATTTTGAATAAGTATAGAACTAGGAAAATGACATCAGCTGTATTTATAGTGGAGGAAAGATCGTCAGCCCAAGCAAGAATATATGATTGCGCTCATATATCTATCTATATGACGCGTGGAATTTTCAATGGTCCGACTGACGACTTTTTTCCCAACGAGCAACCAGCTGACGAATATTTTGACATTGCTATTTATGAATACTTTAATATTTATAAACTTCAAAATACCTTTCAATAATCTACCGAAGGCATATATTATATAAAGCCTCCCCTTCAAAGGTATTTTAACCTGCAGTACTCCATCTAATATGGAGAAGACCCAATGGCATGTGACTCGCAAGGTTCATAAATTAGCCGTTGAAGGAGTGTGCAGTTTTGTTTCCGAAAAGATAAAAATGAATTAGTCTTTTTTTAAACTTGTCTTCATTCACTCTTTGCTGAAGCCGTCGCCAATCGTAAACCCGCCAAATCAACACACATAGAGCCGTATAATTTTGAAAGTAGATTATTGAAGACATTTCCTAAAAAAATTAACAGTGTTACAATGAATGGGAAAAAAATGTAAAACGTTATACCGGTGTGCTAGTTTGAACTGATCTCAATATTTTGGAAGAAGATGACATTTTGAACCGAGCGGTAATAGTTTTGAAACAATGCATTTAAGTACTGACTTCTTGATAAAAGGACAATGCAACGTTCCACAACAACTAATCAATTTTTATAGTAAAGTTACATCTACTAAATATCCGACAAAAGTTAGTAAAAATTATGCGGTAACCGTAAAATCTTTCCCTGAAGATTTGTTCTACGCTGTGACTAATGGCAATATCAAAACGTCAAAAATTTAATTGCCATAATTTTTATTACAAGTTAACATGCCCAGCTGACGTGTAATCCCCCTCTATGGCCCAGCCGACTATTTTTTAAATATTATTTGACGTCTTTAATGCTTGGAAAAAACCAGGTTGTCTAAAATCATTCAAAACAACTTTTTTCTTCACTTGATTTATGTGGTGCCATGGCACCCCCCCCCCCTGCTGACCTTCACTTTCGTTGTCAGTCAAAGCTTATTTACCAGTGTAGATAAAAATCCAGCGGCATTAAAACACTACTAAAAATAGACCCCTGCGTCCCGGACAATTAAAGCCTGTTCCTAATTCTTCAATAGATTTGTGTAAACCAGTCCACGGGCACGTTTTGAGAATTAAAATTTGAAAAATTTAATTTTTATTACATCAAGACGTGCATTTTAAAATCTATCTATCAAACTCACCTATCAAATACATCATCTAGTCTCTTCTCAAACTCAGGACATTGATTCGTGATAAAATAAGGCCCAAATAGATCGCCAGGTGGAGGAACTTCGGTGGCAACACTTGGACCTTAAATGAAAAGTTTTAAAACAATAAGCTAAATTTATATTTAATCCAAATTGGTCAGACGTTATTTTATAGTGCGTACCTGTAAACTCACTAGCATGAGGACCTCGTTTGCAGAAAGCACAGATCCAACTCGCATCTTTTCTTTCTGCGTCGTATTTATTACTAAGGGTACTACAGTGTAGGCCTTTTGATCTGACTTTATGTCTGAAACAAAAATGCAACTCATATTAATCATGCAAATTGAAATACATAATAATGATGGTTTGTTTATAATGTAACGAAACAAATTTCTATTTTTAAAAAGCCTACCTGTACTCGCTATCATCGTGAAACTTTTTGTTCTTGATCGTTTTCTTTTCTGCATCTTCATCGCCAGTCAGGGGAGTATTTACAACACTTACTGATAATGGAGAATCCCTAGGGCCTCTAATTTGCAGGAAGGGGCCCCTAGATTTACTAGAACTAGCGTTGCTACCCGAATCATAGGAATATATATCCTAAAAATTCAAAAAAATCGAAGATATCAGTAGCGGCCCAACAAACTATATACGTTACTTCTTACTACTTACCTTGACAACATCCATGTTCGATACTTTGATAGGCAATTTAGGGATAACTGGTATTGATGGCTTCTTGCTCATACATGGTCTAGAAGGTTTTTTATGGACAGTACCTTTCGTCTTGGTAAGTCTAAAGAAAAACCCAATTCAATTCCTAAGGATCTACAAATTGCTGACCACTTACTTTTTCTTCTTCATTGGAACGTCGCCTTCGTTGTCACTTCTAGACAGTAGCCGGCTCCGCCGTGCTTTCTTGCTCACGGGCTTCCTATCATCGTTTTCTTCTTCATTTTTGACTTCATGGTTTGTGTACAAAGGCTCATCAGATCGGTTGGTCACTTCATAATCTCTGGCTTCTTTCAGTGGCGCTCCCACATCATCCAATCTTACAAAACAAAAATATAACTTGCTGTAAAAAATTGCAGTTTATATATGTGGTGCGAGTCTCATTTAACACGCCGTAAAGGATGTAAATCCGGCTTGCATCGCTTTAAATTTTATGGCCGAAAATCGGCGGTGTAGTCCTACATCTGGCGCATTTTTAACGTTAGAGGTAAGGAATTTGTTTATATTGAACAGTTGTTTAGAAAAAAAAAATTTCATAATCGAAATTTGTGATGTCTAGTGAATTGTTTACTTAATTTATTTCAGGATGATTGCATTTACATATTATTCGATATTCCTGAGCGAATTCTTTGTCTTCCAGTAATAAAATGGGTCTAGAAAAGGAAGGGCTTCGGAATCAGCCAAATCCATTTGATTTACCTGATGATCAATTTATTAGGACGTTCATATTATCAAAAAATATTGCTAGGAATGATATATGTAAATATTAATAAGCCCCACACCTTACAGGCAAGGGAATGTACAGCCATTCCTCTATACCTTCGAGTTCTCCCAACATTTAATTTCCTGGGGCAAGGGTCTCTTTAAAAAGCTGTGAGTTTGTCAGGCTGGATCTGTATGAGCTAAACCTCAATAAGCCGCTCAATCAGGATTGCATAATTTTACGCTAATGAGATTTTTGTTACTAGATAATAGACCGAATCTATGACATTTGCCTGTAGTGTCGCCTTTTTGTAGAATTTTTTGGTATCATTACTTACTAACGTCTAAATCCAATTTTCATTTATTATATCATTATTTTATATTAATAAATGAATCTTTCCTGCTTAGAATAAATCGATAATACAGATTTTTACTACGCCTATGGCTAGCAGCCAGGCCAGTTGATTTTCCGATTAATTCTACTCTTCGATCGATACCTACTTTATCCCTACCACCTATTTTTCATTGATAAATCGCCGATCGGTAGAATTTAATGTTGGTCCTAAGCAAATCCGGAATTTATGAATGACTAGCTTGGTCTATTTATTAATGTCTTTGTCAGTATGTAAAAGCTACATCGATGTAATCCCGAATTCCAGAATCGCACCAATTCGCGAGTTCAACTACCGATAGGGGCGCTGCGAAACGTCAAATTACTCGTTGCCCAATGACAGTTGATACTTGTAAAGAGTTGGTAAACAAGCAAAAAGTCAGAGTGGCAATTGTAACAAAAATTAATGTGAATGAATGACTGAATTGAATGAAAAAAAAAACAAAAAAGAAAAGCTTGCAAAAGTTGATTAGAATATACCAAAACAAATCACAATCAGATGTGACACCAATGTCAACAAACCAAGTGTCAAATTACTAGTTAACGTGTAGTTATAATTTTAGCCACCAGGAAGCGTTTGGACTTTTGAACTCGCGAATAGGTAAGGATAAGCTAAACATACCTGTCATCTGTTAGACCCAACGTTAAGTCGTTTTTCAGTGGTTCCAATGGGAGCTTCGAAGGACTATCTACATGGTTCTCCACTATACCAGCAAACATTTCTTCTAACTTGTTTTCAACCTGTAACAATACAGGACTTCGAAGTTAAATTGCACCACTCAATTTGGATGCGAAAGGTTTAAAAAAATCGTCTCTGACTACCAATTAGCTAAAAGTTAGTTAAAATACCTCGACAAAATTAGTGTTGGAGGCATTTTTCGGAACAGGCGTTTGCCCACGTGGAACTGGAGGTACGGTTACTGGAGGGTTTTCCACTAAATCAGCAACTAAAGCCGCACTATTTTCAGCAGCCAGTGCTTCTTCCAATTTTTCCTTGTTTTGTATTACACTTATTGTTACAGGCTTTGATGGGCTTACAACTGATGAATTCATCTGAAAAATATAAGTGACCTTAGTGAGGTAACAGGATATTATTTATATGTGCATGTGGGAAATTTTTTGGGTAATTCTTGATTCAGAAAATCTTCCTGTAAACTATTTAAATAATTAAGTGCCTCACAATATAATAAATCAGGCATAAATTAAAGGTTTTCCGCATTTTTCTTTTCCTTACCGTTTCCATGTTTACCCGTTTACAGTCATGGTTCATATCTATTCCATCAACTGTATCCACAGGCACAGACTTGAAAAATACGCAATATTTCAATAAGAACATCGAATATAAATCATATGTGATCTCACAGTTGTATTGAAATCAAATTTGTTTTCTTTTTTACTTGAAAAGTAACTAGTCACGTTTATTAATTCTTTACTTTACTGAGCTTTCAATTAATATACATATTTATAAGTAGCATTGCTAATAATGGTTATTGATTACCTTTGAAATATCTTCACTTATTTCAGTTTCCTTTTCAGCAAAATCAGTAACCTTTAATAAGATAATAAACTAAGAATTACGCTGAGATATATTGAGAAAGAACATTTACCGTAATTAATAGACTCGTTTCCGGATTAGCAACTGGTACAGGCTTGAAAAAATAAATCATTGATTCCAAAACTATATTTATATTGCGTGGAAACAGTGTTCTTACCGTGATATCGGCCGCAACCATAGTTAAATCTTTAGCTGCCGGTATGGACTAATACAAGAAAAAATGTGAATACACGTTTTTAAACGGTTATTGGTAAGAAAAAAGCAATTAATAAAATAAAAGAATTTACGTGCGAAATATAAAGAAAATACCTTTATTTCTATTTTCGCATCCTCAAGATTATGGTCAATAGGCTTGAAAATAAAAATGTCAAGTATTAATGTAAAGTAATTTAGTAGTGACGGTGGTACTGAACTTCAAATCTCACCATGTCGACGTCTTTTTCGAGTGCATCAGTACCAATCTGACAAGCATGAGTAAAGAGAATCAATTAAAAGGAGTCATTATTTAGCAATTAATTTAAAATGAATCAATTATAATCTCAAGAAGTCACCACGTAGCACTATTAAATTTATGATTCCCATAAAATCAAAAACAAAAAATACTCACCTTGGCGTTGGGTTCCTCATGTACTTTATCATCATCAGCCAGAGTTTTTCTCTCCTTTAACCCTTCCTGAACCATGGCGGCAATATTATCAATCGTTTCTGATTCGCTGGAGGCTTTTCGTCGACTTTTTATCGCCACTGGTCCATCTACTTCATCTGTGGTCTTTTCCAGCCGCTCTGGTAACTTCACAGTGGTACCCTCTAAAATCGTTGCAATGGACGCAGGATTGGAGTGTTGACTAAGATTGGCAGGTTCTCCTTTGTGATTGTTGATGATGAGAACGTCTGTTGGAGCAGCTTCATAGGAAATCTGGCAATAAGTAAGATTTTGAGCAAACAATTTTAGTATAAACTGGAAATTATTACATCTTTCTCAAATTTAATTTCATCATCTTTGTTTACTCGTACTGTTTTGCTAGGTTTCCTTTTTCTTCGCGACTTTGTACTATCTAAGCTGTCTTCGTTACTATGCATTGAGGCGGAATCTTCCTCTTTGGGAGTGGGTACCTAAAAGGATTGCTCATCAAGACATGTCTACCAGAGCAGAATTTTGCAACTTACATTAGTTGTGCCACTGGAATTACTATTTTCGTCGAAATTGCTAGCTGTTTGAACAATTACACTTGGATTCTGAGAATTTAGTTTTTCCGGCTGAGATTTTTCCTGTACTGTCGTTGGTGCGCTCACAGCAGTAGCTGGGTGATCATTTTTAATATCATGAAAAGGGAATGTCTACAAATAATACAGACACTTAGTAGACAAAATGATCATATAGACAAACTGACTTGTCATTACCCTATCCGGAATTGTATTCAACCTTTCTAAAATCGAATCCACTCTTATGTTACTTCGCTTTTGGTTCTTGCCCAAATCTGCGACCGGCAACGTCGGTGCAACTGTGGGCAACATTAAGTTACTGGCTAAATTAATTCCAGATGCCACAGGGCCGGGGCTCAAAGACTTCCGACCTACAGAGTGTACGTTTAAGTAATTAACACACAAAACAATACATCTAAAAAAGTGCAATTAGATTATTCGATGCCTAAATGACGAAACATTAGGAAAACACTTCAATATATTCACATATGCATCAACTTTATTAGACTTATTAATAACTTTATTATGGCATACATGGACATACCTGGACTAAGAGATTTCATGGTAGCACCAGAACTTAATAAACCAGGACTTGCGGCTTTCATTCCGGGGCTCATAGAAGGCCCCCTAATCGAGCTGGGACTAATAGCGGATTTTACATTCGGACTTGCACACTTAACGAGCTCCACAGCCTGAATATCCAACATTCCTGGTGGGAGACTGTTAATTTTATTAGCGTCCCGCACACTAAGACTGATGGCAGCAGGGGCTGAAGGGAGCTCACCATTTTGGCCACCTAAAAAAGGTTTTTTCACTGAAGAAAAAACATAAGAATTAATTAACATTAAGTTGTCAGCAAACCTTAAAAACGTATTCAGTCATTAATAATTCAGTATTCTAATTACCATTTCTTGTAAGACTCAGATCAACGCAATCCCTTGGAAACAGCGACTCAGTTTTAAACATATCATTGAGCATTTGAGTATGAGGAATCAACTTCATTGCTTCGGTAGTGGTGGGTGTATGCCACGTTGGTTGATGTATCAGAGTATGTTCTGCCTGCATATGAGCTACTTGGGGTTGGCGTTGAAAATAGGTGGGAACCTAAAAAGTTCAAATGAGTCGCAGAAATTTGTGTGAATTGATAAACAAATAAATTATTCTCGCGTTAATAGGTTTATATTTAGATACTATTTAGTCAGATACTAAACTACATAAATTAATGTTAATTTCCGCAACTGTTGAAGACAAAACTGGCCGAACATGTATGTAGTCAGTGGCTCTCACAACAAATTGGTTCAGAATAAAAACCCAATATAGGTGTTTACTTAAAATTCAAGAACTGATCTGGGAACAAACCTGTAAATGATTCCATGCTGAATTTGTTGGAGGTACATGTCTATTGTGAGGGTGATGTGGTGGTCCTCCTGACATTTTGGATCGATTTGTATCAACTGATTTAATTCAAGTCACATTATCGGATTTCTCTTAAATTTAATCAGGTGGCATTCCTCAAATCGTCAACAGGAGGTGTGGTAAAGGTAGATCTTTCCTTTGGAATTCGTAGGTCTGCAATTAAACCCATGATTTTGTTAAATATGTTGCAAGGAAGAAGTTTTGTATAAGGGAGATAAATATAAGATTCTTGGCTGGACAACAAGCGGATGTTCGCCATCTATTTTAAGTAGTAAATATTATGTTGTCAACTTGTGTATTTTTTTATTGGAGACTCCAAGTACAAAGGCAGTTTTTGTGGTGTGTTTTTACTCACTATCGGATCGAAGTCTTCAAAATTTATCAGTTTGGTAACATCGATAAAATAAAAAAAGATTAACAATTTATTTACATCCAGGGAATAGATTTTAGTTACCACTATGCTACAAATTCTATGATACTACAAATATATTTCAAGTATCGCTTGTGAAAAATTGATAAAAATAAACTGCAATAAAAAATAAATTACATGTATACAGTGACAACAAAAAATTGCTAATAAAAAACCAATATTTCCTCAAAGAGTAAATGTGTTTCAGAAACGCAATCACAATGTTCTGCTTTTCTCTTAATCTTCACCCAAATTCGTATTTGCTTGGAAAATGTGTCACTGAATCGTGTCACATCATGGGAAAAACATGCAGACACTGTAAATATCTACATGTTTATCCGAGGCCCAAAAATCACTAATAATGAAAAAATCATGTTGTGAGGCGACGTTTGTTCTAAGTAAACAACGCGGAACTGGAAACTGTTTCGCGTTGAACGAGATTCGCAAAAAAATATTGGAAATTTCAACCTATTTCCACAAATCCAGTTAAATTTATCCTGAACTTTAAAATTTTCAGTAATGTAACTTATGATTGATAATTACATATATGATGAATAATTATCTAATTCGTGACAATAATAATACGAAAATTCCTGGTCGAATAGTCACGCAGTATTATCGGCGACAAGCTTTCATGAAACACATGTTTCAAGTATTTGTGCATTATAAAACCATTTATTGGCTAAATACGGATACTCCGCAAAACGCAAGGGCCAAGCAATAGTATTTAAAAATTGTGCTATTAAAATCACTTTTAGCACAATTTTCCAAATTGAAAGATTCTAAACAACAATCAAAAGAAACGAAAATGAGGTTGTTTGTTGTGAGAACATTTCTAAGCAAACATTGTTTCTTTAATTGATTACTTTATAGATAACACTTTTCCTTTGCAGAAATAAAATGTAGTTTAGAATAGCATTAGATTATGGCTTTTCGCGATTTTATCAACATCGCAATAACATGCATGTTTCTTCCTAATTTTGTTCAATGCTTACAAAACTTCGTAATTATTATATTGTCGAAAAACTATCAAATTAACTTTGCTGTTGTTTGTTAATGTTTTCTTTTGCATTTCAAAGATTATTTTATTTTATTAAACCCCATGAGGAAATCTTTATACTTATAAGATAGTTACGGTTAATATATACGAATAATATACAGGAGGACCTTTGATAAGTCAAAGCTTTCCTTGTCGGAGGTTTGACTACAATTATTTAAGATATACTTCTCCAGTTCTATTGTTCTATTCCGAAAACGATCGGTTTGCCATATACAGGGTGTTATTTTACGGATGATGTAACATGTCCTTTGAAAGTAGACAATATGAATAATACTTAGGGTAAAGTGGGGGTAATTGTAAATCGGGGTAAATATAAACATGCACAGATTTCAGCTTAAATTTACAGCAAAATCTATCACGTCTGCTAATTTTAACGGCTTTACTATCTCTTCTTATAAGGCTTTAGAAGTTTCTTCTTAAGTGTTCCTGTGTAATTCCCGCGAACTATTCGCGATCGACACTACATAAATTTGCGATTTTTGTTTTGTCGCCTATGTAAAATGAATGAGCTTTTTTTCTTTTAAGGGTAAGTATTGTTTTCTTGGCTTAATATAAAAATACATATAGATATCACTTTATCTACCTTCACTTCCATAAATACTTACTGATTTATTAATAAACCGTTTGTTCTATTGTTGTTTACATATACCCCCATAAAAGTCGTATATGGTGTAATTGTAAACAACATTTTGAATTTGAATTAAATTTGAACATTAATAAAAGCATTATTTTTCAAATGTCTCAAAAATATGTCCAAAAACTTGTGGACTGGCCTCTACTAAAGAAAATATTGCTAATGCTGTCGCTGATGTGAAAAACAGTAACATAACTTTCTCACTAGTTCTAACTCTAACTCTCTCAATAGTTCTTCTCTAGTTTCTCACTGGTACAATTTAAGGGAGGAAAACGAAACACAAGTACTTTCAAATATGTATGTTGTATAGATAATATTGTTGATCAGGAAGTGGAAGTAGTAGGACTAAAATCTATAGATAATACAAAGAACAACTTTGCGGTTTAGGCAAATGATGCAAGTTTTGTTGTGGAAAACCAGATACATACTGGGGTATTGGATTTCCCGCAATTAATATGAAAAGAGAAATAATTTATTATAACTTTGAAAAGGTAGTTCTAGTGTTGGAAAATTAATGTTGATGTTATTACTTAAGACAGAGTTTTATTTATACATATTTTATTCTTTTCTTAAGGGTTTAATTCACGGAGTTTCTAAGAAGTTTTTAAGTTCATATGCTTGAATAAGAAAGCTAAATCAAAACAAAATGTTTTTAATTCCTTTGGTGTAAATGTAATTAAACTAAATTATAATAATATGTTACAGGCATGAAACAAAATATGAAATTATTGCATTTACCTTGTTATTTGTATTTCAACTCACTACAATATAGTCACTTTATCAATTATTACACTAAAAAATTTATAGGTCGAAAAAAGAGAATGATCTATTTTTTAAGTTATGATAAATTTGCTAGAAAAATGTATTTGTCAAAATCGTTTATTTTACCCCCACTCGACCCTACATTTTTTATGATAAATTTTACGAAAAAAAATCATGGAAAGTTCTGCATGGTGTAAAATGTAAAATCCAATCATTAGGCATTAATAACGTTTTTCAGCTGTATACCAGGCTTTTCAAATATTATGAACGTTGCTCAAGAGTAAAGTAGGTATCTTCTTTTGTCGTAGAAAAGTTGGTTGAAATCTAAATTTCTACATTATAAGTAAAATCTAATTTTATTAGTAAATTTCAATAATGAACATTTACGTATTTTCTTTATTATTTTCTTTATTAGCGATAACTTTTGAGGTTTCTTAATAAACAATTTTGAAATTTAAATCCATATTCTTATCTAATACGTACTATTGATGGTGATTGCATCCTTTAATTTATGCTTCGATTCTAATCCACCCTCTGACGAAAATACTCGATATTGTCAAAGAAAGTTACTTTTCTCTTGTCGTTGATTTGCATTATTTTTCAGTTTTTATTTAGAAACCACGCACGGAACTGAAAAACAATTATATTTAATGGTCATACATATATATGTATGAATATTCAAGACCAATGTTAGATGTGCAGTTAGTAATTAGCAACTTTTTACAATAATCTAAGTTATGAAGTCAAATTTAATGAGTATGCTGTCGAATTTAATGGTTTTACTGTAAAACAAAAATTTGATACAACAAAGATAGGCGGCAAACTTTTTTTCTTTTGAAATTGACCGGAAATATTTTTCCGAATAACCAGATAAATTTTTCCAGAAACGTACTTACCGGTGCACAGATAACTGGTAAAACTGAAAACAAGATTGTCGCCAAAATAAGCCCCTAACGTATAGTTTTTGGCTCCCAAGCCCTATAAAATTCGTTCAAATATACAAAGCCGTTTCCATAATACATTTACTAAACCTACCGTTTATTAACATGCTTTATTCAAAAATATATTCAGCAATAATGTTTCAGCTTATCATACACCTTGTACATACTGGTGAGTTTTTCGGGCTTTTAGACCGCCGTGGAAAGCATTTCTTGCATCTTCAGACGTTCAGAAAAAATTAAGAAATTCTTTAACAGTACCACCGAAAGCCCGAAAAACTCAGCAGTTTTCAACAATTAGAAAACCTAGCTCTTTTGATACTCTGTGTGCATAAGGCTAATGAAAATGAAAGCCGTATTTTTTATGTTGGTCAATGTGGATTATTTCAGTTAAACTTAAATCCGAAGAGATGCAATAACAAAGGTCATAATCTTGTGTTATTTGCCAGTTATGCCAATATTAAGATAACCGCTGATCCGTGTCACACACTCTACTTGCTATCTTGATACTTTTCAACCATAAAATATCGACGTAAGAATATATTTTTGTCCAATTTTTAATCAAGCAAAAGATTCGGGCGCATGTGAGTGAAACGCGTTTGTAATCGAGAAAAATAAGACGATCTAACCCATTTCCAACATACAGTGTTTTTTAAGGCTTTTAAATGAGTCAAATGTGATTAATTACTACACATTCTGACCAGACCCAGAAAATTTCATTTTTAGAAAGAAAAATCACAAACGCACTGCAACGTTGCAGAAAAAGAGAACATCCGCAAATGAAAACACTGTAACTGATTCAAGTAACTCACTCGTTAATGTCGATTGAACTGATAAAACACGCTTAAACCGTGGAATATTGTAGGCACATTAAAATATAAATAACATTTATGAACTTCTACTCCTAGTCATTCATGGCAGCATATATTAATCGACTATATGTAGATAGAGAGGTTTTCCTTCTTAATTAGGCCTGTGTTTATTTGCCTCAATTACAATTCAGTACCTGAATAAAAAAGACAAAGACTGGTTATATTTAACCAAGTTTCGAATATATCACTTGGCATAGATTGACACTGAGGTAATCACACATTTATAATTAACTTTCCATGACTAAACTTGGGAGTTTTCAAATAACTCTTCAATTATTGTTAATTAAGTACTTTTGAAATAGGTTCACTGTTACATCAGAAATTTTAATCTAAGGATGTGCTGACTAATAAACAAATATTTGCCAAACATTGTTTCGTATTTAGTGCCCAGATATTTGTCTAAGCACAAAGTAATGGTAATGTACAATCTTGTAAATTTTGAAGTGAAAGCACGCACTAATCTAGCTTCGAGTTTAATTAGCTGTTATTAATTGATAGTTAATGAGATATTCAGTTATTATTGACGATAATATTGTCTAACATCTGCTATTTAGTAGCAAATGGTCTTAAAGTTCAATGGTACTTTTTAACCCTCTGGTTATTGATACTGTTACTGATTCATTGTTCTTCCGATGGAAGTAATGTTACTATTTGCTTGAGTTTTAATCAAACCAAGAAAATAAAACTAGCTATAAAACATAAACATAAACATAGCGGAACAGGCAAATTTGGATAACTTGCCCATAGGTACTCAGTGACATGTAAACAAAGATTCTCCCCAAGTTAAAAGAGAAGGTCACAAATACGAAATGTTCCTTTCAGTGTCCTTAATTTAACTTTGGAGATGTTTACATGTGAAACATATTGTATCGCCGATACATTGAAGACCACTAATCGATTGCCTTTTACTCAGTTTGAATGTTTAATATGATAATCATCAGGTACTTGGACAAACTCTCATTAACGTTTAAAGCACCACAGATTTCAATATTCAAAACGGCAAAATCGAAAAGACACCAGCTTTATACAGACGGATTACGTTCAACAATTGAATAGGTGACGGTGTCACATATGGACACTTAAAAAACATTGTTAAAAACTCGCCAAAACAGCTCGCTTACATGCAGAAAGAAAATTAAAAGTAGGAGTCGTAAGCGAGCCATTATAGAGCGAAATCGATGCTTAAAAACTTCGCCACTACTCAGCTATTTGTGAGACAACACACCTGAAGACCGCTGAATTCTCGAGTTTAGTCTATGCACTATTCAAACATCAGCACAAAAGCACAATATTGTATCCATAAATCGCTAGAGAAACAAATTTTATCAAAACGTCCAAGGCACGGCCACAAGAGCATCCGACACGCAACAATGGCGATCCCGGTTTTCTGAAATTTGACCAAGTCTCGCCATCTATTTGCAAAATCATAGACAATTCACGCATTTTTCTGATAGATAGTTGTTTTACCCACTGAACGGTATTTAAATTGATATTAACCAACTGTCATTGATCAGTTGAAAATGTTTCGGAATTTAGTTGTTAATAATTATTGAACAAAACATAACTTATTGTAAGCTGGAACTTTTCAATTCTCATTCAATTGGCCAATGCCAGGATAAGTACAAGGTAACTTAAAATTCAATATATACAAAGTGTCTAAACAAACAAAGTTTACCAAACTATTGTTAAAAAAACATCTGGAGACGCTTTCTCGAACATCAACAGGGTGTTTAGAACACGACAAACGCGACTTTTAAAGCGCTAATCAGTAATAATTTTCTAATATAACGACACTTATTAAGGCCCCTTAAAATAACGTCTATGAAATTCATTTGGCTGTTTAGGGCAAAACATCGGCTTCTGTGTTAATTTAGTGTCCTCATATGTGCACATTCCTCAAGAGTAGATTTGAAAGAAAAAGCAAGATCCCAATGCAACTGAGCGTCATCCAAAACAACAGCACTAATAAATATGCAGAATTTACGCTAAACAAAAGTCACAAACTTTTTAAACTTACCATCTTTCATCAAAAGTATCAACAAATCTGATGGGGACAACGTCTAAGGATTGTTGTCAAACTGTACCTTTTCTCTTCCTTGATGTTGATGAACAGGTTATATGTCAATACTTATGACACCTTTGCCTAACTCCGATTTTGTCAGAAGCCGTTGGTGTTTTCAAAAACATAGTTTAAAGATTTTTGCTTGGCTGACTAGACGGTCTATCAAGATTCTTAAAATTTTCATTGGAATATTTGCGAAAAAATCATTATTGGTCATTTTTTCATGTTTAGAATCCGTCCCTAGCGAGTATCAAATTTTTGGCTTTTTGTTGTTTTATCTTAAAGAACACTTTATATGAAGCAGTTGATATGAGAAAAATTATTGAATCGTTCATAAATTAGCCCAAAAAAACACTCACAAAGTTAAATTAAAATTTCCATTTAAAGGCTAAATTTTGTGAGTTGTTTATTAAAAAGTTAATGTAAATTCATTCAAGTTGGGTCGGTTTGGGTTATTTGGGCCTTAATTAATTTTTACTTTTTGTAGAATTTTTGTCAGTCATTAAAAACATACTTCAACCATGGAAACACAATCCAAATAAACTTACAATTAATGCAAAGTAAAACAACTAAAAATTATTGAATTATAAACGACGAAGTGTTTTAGTTAGTAAATGAATATTTTCCTTGGGAAAAGTTTTAATAAATGAGCGAAATACATGACAACACCGCATTTTTTTAAATTGCGGTAGATAACCTTTAACAACGGGCGACGTTAGAAAAGAAGCTGAAACTTTTGCGAAAAACTGAATTATTATACATTTTAGCAGCAATTGTCCATGAGTTTTTGTTACCTAAAACACGATTTTGCAGCAAATAATACCAGACAATCTCATTTTCGTCCATAAATAAATAATTTTGGGATAACGAATTTTAAAACAAACTGTGTAAGCGTTTTTATAGAAAAATATCTACCATCCAAGATTTATTCTTACTGAAGCTTCAATTTTCACGCAACACAAGCTTGAACGACAAGATTACCAATTTTTTCTTGTCATCAAAGCACGCCCTTCAAATCAAAACATTTATTTTGAATGACGCTGTATATAAAGGCTTGACTGTTGCCCAAAAAATCAATGTGAAACCAGATGGCAGGGCACTCAATCAGCTGTTCTTGACATCATCTTCTGTTTGTAAACATTAAGCAAACTCAAACTTTTGATTATATTTGAAGGTGAATTGAGTGAGTTTGAAGGAAAAAGGGTGTAAATAGAACATTATTTCAAAATGAGTTTTGATGATATAATTTATCTGTTTTTCTTGATGTTCTCTATCGGATTTGGTACTTACTATCGGAAAATTGAGAACCCAAAATCAAGAAAACACATCGGAGCAGCAGTAGGGTTTCTCATTGTTTTAGCAGTCTCTCGGCTGCATTCGATTCATATATTAATTACTATTTTGGTAAATGGGGCAATTATTTTGTATGTTGATAAGAGGTGAGCAAGCACTTTTGTATAATTAAGGGTCTCACAGAAAGTCACACTGCCGACAACATATGTTTCAAAAATTATATTTATTGAGCATTTTAACATGTCCAGAGATAGTACAGGATTAACCGCTAATAGTCATTTTCAAAATTTTTCAAACTTTTCAATATACATAGTATTGGTTACTGGCTGATACGAATATTTTAACACTAGTCATCATAAGTGATTAGTATATAAATTTATATAGTAAAAACGTAGTAATAATAGTAAAAAAAAAGAGGTACACAAAAGAAAATTATTTTAATGTCGCTCTTGATGAAATGGCGAATAAATCAACGACCCGAAAGGATTCTTTGCACTTATATGCAAGCATGTACCGATTTGGAGATATGTTAATAACAGGTACCTTAAGACCGATTTCGAGTCTATTAGCTGGGTTTGGTTTGAAAATATCACTCCCAAAATTCGCAGTTTATTTTTCGAAAGTGTATATGTCAGCATCTTTTCGGAGATGTGAGCTCCTAAAAAGCTCCAATGGATAAACCTTGTTGCTAATATATCAGCTAATGTATTTGTGCCAGTGTATCACTTAAATAACGTTTTATTTAAGTAAACTAGAAATATCTCTTTGCATGGAATTCTTAGCTAATATACCATTATTTTTATTTTAGGTTCTGCCATTTAGTAAGTTTTTTTCTCTCATTTGTTTACTTAATATTTCTTCGAACAACTGTATATTTTGGACTTCCCTATTCCATTCCAAGCCACACTAATTTGATACAAATGATTCTTACATTGAAGCTTGTAGGTATGTATGTAAATTCGTTACAAGATGTTGCACAGTTCAAGTTGCAAAAGTTCGGGGGGTTCTTTTTAGTAAAATATGGAAAAAAATCAATGCGTCGGCAATAACTTACAATTCCTGCCCAAACAGTTTTTGCAAAAAAAAACATATTTTCGCACTGGTAATGAGTCATTCTGTCATTGCCATTAGATAGAAAGACAATCTGAATCAAATCTAATAGTATTTAAAAAAAATTAGTTAGGTAAAAAATTTAATTTAAAAAAATATTAGGCCTGCTACCAAGTCAGCTTGTTTTCTATTTTACAGAGCAAAATTGTCTTTAAACATTTGTGACTCTAACTATGTAACACTCTGTATATAAATAAGCTAAATTAATAAAACGTTCGCATGTAAGATATTTTCCGTCTTTGGTGGGCAATAACTTAAAAGTTCTCATACCATGATCTTCATAAGCATGCAAAAACGCTTTGTAAGAGTTGTCAAACTGTATATAAAAATATTGGGGCAAAAACACGCTGACATTTTTTTTTATCAAAGTCGCCTTCAGGAACACAATAAGATAGTTTTATTGGGTTTTATTGATTGAAACCTTAGAAAACATGAAAAGCCAAATTAAACTGGGTATATTTGATATTCCTTCCATTTGGTCTTTCAAATTTCCGTGGGTTCTGGAACATGTAAAAAATCTACTATTTTCTTGATATCTTCATCAAAATCACATTAGCATGTGTACATTTTAATATGATGCTACTTTATAGGTTTAGCATTCGAAGTAAACTCAGCCTACACTAAAAAAGCCCAAAATAAAGCCACACCAGCATTGAAAAATGAGGCGGAAACCGAAATAGGGGATGACTATGTTTTGGATTTTTCCCACGTATTTTATTACGCGTTAAATTACGTAGGTGTTTTAACAGGTAAAGTGCAAAAGTAATTTTCCTTCATTTGACTAGTCGCTTTTGACTTATTCATCTGATTATTGACTACTAGGCCCCTACTACAATTATAGAACTTTCTATGATCACTTATACAAACCATTCCATCAGTATGATGACTATAAAACTGCTGCCTTGAAAAAGTTCTTCCCGTTAGTGCCAATTTATGCGATTGTGTATTTATTAACCGACTATCTTTGGCCCTTGTCGGTGAGTAAAATCTAATAAAATTGACCGCTTTTGAGCATAGGTAACTTCGCTTTCAGTACACGCAGTCCCAAGACTTTGAAGAAAGGTCTTTCTTGTACAGATACTGGTACATTTGGCCTACGTTTTTAAACTTTAGGGCCCGAATCTACATAGGGCTGACTCTATCAGAATGTTCATGTATAATGGCCGGACTTGGGGTGTATCCCGATTTTGCTAACAGTCAGCCCGGGAATGGTCCAACTACAAACTTTAACAAACTTACGGAAATTTGGTATGCTTACGCTTAAATGGAGATTTTTGGGATTTACTCAAATGTTTGTTTAAAGTCATTCAACGACGACCTTAAAAAGTACAAAATATGATTACGAAACCGTCTATAACATAAACTCATATGGTACGGAATTGTACCCCACTTTGAGAGAAGGGATGAAGAATTGGAACATGACCGTCCAATATTGGTTGGCCACTTGCATCTACAAAAGGTTGGGGTTTTATTTGTGTAAAGCTTGGTTTACTTAAGGCTGTTATAGGTTTCCAAGCAAAAAATATAGAACATTTGCCACTATGTTCGTTTCTGGAGTCTGGCATGGCGTCTACTCGGGTTATTATATATCCGTAGGCATGATTCCCTTTGGGCTGATTGTGGAAGACATTTGGGCTCACGTTTTATTGAAAGATGATTTTTATCTGGTAGGCCAGTATGAAGATTTTAATTCCTCATGAGTTATTCAACTAAATCGTTTCCAGCCGAAGAAAGTTGGCTATGTGATCATGCTCTTCCTTAAGATGCAGTTCTTCTCATACGCGGCCTTAGCGTTCAGCTTATTGGATGTGGGAAAAATTATGCACTACTACAATCTGGTATATCATTGGATGGTTCCATTTTACGTCTTCATGTTCTTCCTTGGAAAACACTTGTTAAAGTTGAAGAAGACAGGTAATAAAAGTGAAGAAAGTATTTTGCCCGCTAGCACAAAATCGGGAGATCGAAAAAAGCAAATCTGAAATACCGGATAAGTTTAGTTAATGTACAATTTACAGAGTGAACCTGCGAAGAGCATTTTTCATGAGTCCTAAAAACGTACACGTAAGACGTGGTGGTTTTACGCAAAATTCTCTTTCTGATATTTCAGTTATGGGAGTTTGATTTTTATCAATGTTTGATGTTGTTTCAAAGTTTGATGGGAAGTTGATTTTTATCAATGGATTAACCTATTTTATGTTGGTATATAAGTAATCATGTGTATTTTTTTTCGAAAGTACCATAAAGAAACTTTCTATTTGCTTGCAATAGGGTCTTGGGTCGCTTCTCTGATTCACCCCGCATATCGGTGTTAATTATTTTGCCAATTTCTAGTCAATGGAAATCGACACATTTATAATATTTCTATATTTATATAACTGGCCGATTTGGGTTCATTTTATTAATAGACATTGTTATTTAGTTCTAGTTAGATTTGTGTATCTGTAAATAGACTGAGAATAAGCTCGTCATGTTTATAGTACGATCAAACTAATAAACTGATGGTATTCTGTACAAATGCATTTTTTCTACTTTAGATGTAAAAACCCACACTTAACCGCATTCAAATTCTTCCGCTTTGATTTGTAAACTTCTTAATGACAATTTCATTAATATTTGCCGGTTAAGCTAATACTGATTGAAGAACTTAATATATTTCACAAATTGAACAAGGCACTTTCTTTTCTCTTCGACTAAGAAAAGCAGTCGACCTTGATGGTAAAGTAAAACCTTCATGGTTTGTCCATCGAAGTTTATGGTTTGTGGGACAACGGCTTATTCAGTAGGTCACTCGTGGTATCTATCGATTTGCAGACTAGATTTAAATAAACTTGACTGAAAGCTGCATCAAGTACTGTAGTTTTGACTAGGTAAATACTAACACTAAAAGTTACAACTCAATTTATGCTCTAATAACTGCTGTAAAAAGTTTTCGGTTTAAAATCGTGATAACGATTATAATCGCCAACAACAAGAAAATATGTAGCAGTGGATTACAATGAAATTTACATAATGTATATCTTCAATTCATTGAATTGTGTCCGAATAGAATGGGATAAAGAGAACAAGCAACTTTCGTCTGTAGAAAGAAGTAAAACTTAAATCTGGTGCATTCGACCATTTAGGAGGAAAACCTGTTAAGAAAACGCACTTTGAATGCACTCTCTTTCACCTTATACCGTTGGTACCTCAGCATCTTTACATTGTACTTTGCTCATAACTTAATTCGTATCTTCCAAGACTTTAAGAAAAAGTTACAATAAATTTCTTATATCTCGTGTTGGATATTTACATTTATTATTTACAAAACCAGCATTTTTTGGAATGCCGCTGTTTTTGTTATTACGAACAGGCTCGTTTGTACTTCTAAAACATATCAAAAAAATGTTTGACTGACTGGTGATGGTTTAAAAACTGAAACGTGCG